TTCATTCATTTAAAGGGGTTTGGGGAGTGGGATGGGACAGAGATCATGCTTTTTAATGATGGGGTAAGGAAGCTGGGAATGAAAAGAGGAGAATTCAGGGCAACATAATGACTGATGAGGTTGTGTTATTAGATCTTACAGATGGGGCAGGTTATCTCATCTCCTATTTAACAAGAGGTACTTAGGCCAAGCCACTTACAAGCAGGATACTGATAAATCTGAAACCCGAGTTAACTCTACTTTTCTCCCTCCATCACCCCAGCTCCAACTTTTTAAGAGGAAGCTGGCAAGGGCTGATACAGATTTGTTCATAACAATTTAATTATATTCCCTCCTCCCCACCCTGTCCACACACACACAGGTGCTAGAGTGAGAACCACAGCCCAGTCCATTTTGCAAGGAATGCCTTCTATTCACAGATCTATAGTTTGCTACGAAAGCAATTCATGTTCATAAGAATGACCCAGAAACACAAGGCGATCTTCAGACATAATATAAAAATTAAGCTGTGAGAGCTCTACTTACATTGACTATAGAATCCAAACAAAGACTTTCTGTGCCACTCCTGGGTTCAACGGGCAGCCTAGGAGATGTTGTAATATTAAATATCTGGCATATTTCAATGATTTATGTGGGAACTGTGCAGGACATTTGAAAGTGGGTTATTCTAGAAAATCAGAGATATATGATTGTCATAACTACCCTGTAATTTGAAAGGCAAGATTCTATCTACATTAATATCTTTGGAAAGGTTTTTAGCCAAGATTTTTCTGATTAACCTTCATCAAAAACTCCCATTTCTGAAATAATCTATTTAATTGATAGTTAACTGAATTTATATTAGAACATTTAAAGTATAAAAATGTCATTTAAGGATAAATTTATGGCACTTACACATAACTCAAACTGTATAGAAGATTCTAAGATGTTTTAAAATGAACACTGCATTTATTGTTAAAGTCCTGTGCGACTTGAAAAGAGTTTTGTATTTCGCATCTTGGTTTTTACATCACAATCTTCTGCCCAAAGAGTAACTTAAAATTCGCAGCTTTTTCTAAATTATTGATTTAAGAAATTATAAATTCCTTGAGAGCAGAATTTATAATCATTGTTATTTATCATGTATTTCCCTTCTCAGATAGAGTTTAATGATATTTGTGGAATGTATAAAGGAGAAAACAGGTTCTCTTTCCTTTTCAGCCACCTCAAGGCTTAACATATGTTGAAGGTAAATTATAAGCATCTGATATCCAGAAGAACTTTCTTTTATTCTTACGCTTTAGACAAAAGTGCACAATACCCTCGGGTTGTACATATCAGCGCCAGGCTTCTAGAAATGAGAAGGAAACTTCTGATTCAGGCCAGCTAGCCTATCAGAAATAGCCATTCTGGTCATTTATCTATTAAGGAAAGAAGACCTGATTCAATGTAAGGGCTTTACATTATTGGCTGGCAAATCAAATTCTAACTAGAGCTTCCAAATCAATTCCATAGCTTAAGTTTAGGCAAGCAGATGTCTACCTTTCCTACTGTTTGGTTTTTTGATCTATCCTTTTCTGGCAATAAAATTTAAATGTATGCTTTTTCTTTTCTAAGTTGCACATCAATACTCACTCCCTTGTCAAATGTACCAATTTATCTGAATATTCACAATGTGATTTCTTTTTTTCTACAAGGAAGGAAAACTTTGAATCTTTCACTTGTTTTCAAACAACTCTGCCTGCACTCTCTTTGTGATTTAGGGAAAAGTCCCTCTTTTCCTCTTCTTTCTGATGGTATTAGTTACCACTGTCATGTGTCCGAGAAGCAGAAAATTATGTCCTACTTTAGAAAAACAATTGGGCCTTTTCACTGAAATATTTATTCAAAACCCCATTCAATTCATACGGTGGCTGTCAGTCTTTATTTAGTCTTTCTTTCAGAGGGTATCTTTGATTTTGCCACTTTGACCCCAATTTATATCTCACTAGGAGAGGATTTAGATACTGTTTAATACTTAAAATTTGGGTCCCAGGGCTTTGAAAAGAGGCATTTTCTCATTCCCTAATCAAACATCACTACTGTTTGTTTTAAAAATAATTTCTTCTCATTAATGGGCAAAATCCTATTTCAAAAAGAAATTTTTTTTTAAAATTTTTGCTTTTGACATGTTGAGTAGGGAGAAAAGACAGGGAAAAAGGCCAAGAAGTTGTCACACTCGTTATTTCACTAAAGTAACTATATTTAGACCACAAAATATTAAGATTTATCCTATGCCCACTGAGCAATTAATGTTGAAAACATCTGGAGCCGCCTAAAACCAAGATAATCCTGGAGGCATCTGAACAGAAATTCAGTGACTCCTATACCTTCCAGGGGCAGTCGTCAATCGTAATATTTAGACCACATTCCCTTAGTAGTCCCCTAATCCTGACTTTGAATGCTTATAACAAGCAATTCACAGACACTACTACAAATGGCAGCTGGCTGGCATATCATTTTTCTGCCTTTAAAATTAAAAAGAAAATAAAGGGAATATTTTAACACCTTTCAAAGTGAGCTTCTGGCAGTGTGCTCCATGTTCAAAGGTCTTACTTTATTTACTATGCATACACACACACACCATAAAAAAAAATCTCAAAGCAGAAAATAGTTTTGGTTGGAATTTAGTACTTTTTCTTCTTTGCCCACTGTTTCCTCTGTGTTAAAAGCAAAAACAGATCTGCTTCTCGTCAAAATAGCCATTAAGTAAAATGGAAAAGGTTGTGGTTATGTTCTTACTTACACAAATGTAGCCCTAATATGCTTTTATTTCAAAAGTTCTAACTAGCTATACCACCCTGAACCAAACACTGCGTGGCACAGACATTTGTTAGAATCTTGGGAAAAAAAAAAAAAAAAAGTTTTAGTTTTATTTATGCTAAAAACAAAAAAAACAAAAAAACAAAACCTTAATCGCTAACAACTGACTATCATAAAGTGGTTTATGGAGGGTAAAGCAACTCTGCAATGGCACAAGCAATATTTACATTTTATTCATTTAACCTAAAGTTGGGGTGTGGGATTCAGACTCTTGTGAAACTGACCACAATAAGAACTAATTGCCCTGCTTACAAAAATAAGACACTGGAATTTCTGAAATCCCTTTGTCAAATGCCTTTATTTACTTTGTCTAATGCAAGTTTCTTTGATTAGCTAAACTTTGCTGTTATCAACACTTCTTGCTTATCGGCTAGTTTTAGGCGAATGACACATTCACCGCTCGCTCTCCCTAGATAAAGCAAATCCCTTGTTTAACTTGTCCAAGAACAAACAAAGCTTTTCCCCCTACTCTTACAACTTAATAGGCATGTTTGGAGGGTTAATTACAAAAGGAAGAATGTCTACATGTAAAAACTCTATTAGGTCTAATAACTTTTGGCGAGGATCCTGAGCATTTTTTTTTCCTTCTGTTAAAAAATATGTTTCGTTACAACTTTCTCTAACAAGAAAAAGTTTCAGAGAGCCCCAGTTCCCTGGGATTCCAACAGAAATTGTTCATACTGTTTTAACTGCCACAAAGAGGACAGGTCTGAAAGGTCTCTTCTTGGATTAGAAAATTATTTTGTAACTCAAGTTTCTTTGAGTTCTCCAGAAATAAAATAGGCACCAAAAAAGAAAAGGCATTTGGGGAGCAGCTGAAGATTAAGGCGCCTACTGAAAACGATATTCTTTTTGCTCTGCTTATGGCTCTACAAAATGTTAAGTCAGCCAGCCAGGCTGTTGGCATCAAATGGTTATTGATTTTTCAGCTACAAACCTGTTGATTTCCTGGCCCAAGAAGCAAGTCTTTATTCTTAAGAAAAAGTTTCAGAGAGGGCAATTTAAATCCTGTCATTGTCCCCTCTCTCCTTTTTCTTCTCTCGTTAGATAAGCCACCATGTTATTAGGAAAACTCAATTTCTTCCAGTTAAACTTTGACCTCTTTGAAAACAAAGATTTAAAATGTCATTTTCAGGCTAATGCTCCAATGAATTGTCAAATAAAGTACTAAAAACATTTTGATAGATAGCTGAGCCATTTATCTAAATCACTGTCAGGGCGGTACAGCATCCTGCAGGCTCCCACTACAGCCACCCGAAGGTGGGATTTTCTGGGACTCCTGGTCATTTCTCAAGCCTGCAGCCAGGCTACTGTTGACCAGATGCGTACCTCGGCACTGTGTCAGCATCAGATAACAAAATAGTCAATATATTTTTTTTTAAATTGGGCTATCCCACTTATATTTCCTTTCCTTTAACGGATGTCCATGTTCCAGGCTGAATTGCAAGATATGAAAATAATGGATGGCTCAGCCCAAGGGGTGTTCATTGCCAGTAGTTTTCTAGCAAAACAGCAACTTCTTAGACCAACAAAGTGACTCGGAAAGGTGGCAGCAGGGTCAATGCTAAGAAATATTGCCTTTCCTTAGCAAGGAAAACATTGGAAGCGGCAGCCTGAACTGGTGGTTTATGAACTTCGGGAGCAGCAGCCACCTTAATTAAACTAAATTCCTTTCAAGGAAAATGTCATATTTTAATTACTTTGGACTGTTGGAATACACAAGGGGTGGAAGAACCTATACAACTAGTAGCTAATCCAAAGAACAGTAAAGTTAAATTCCACTCTGTACACATTTTAGTAAAAACTGCAAAATGGGTCAAATTGCCCTACTTGAAGAATGTTTTAAAGTCTTGTGGTCACCCTCTACTCCCCACCCCCCACACTTTTATGCATATTTTCAAAACTGTTTTCAACAGACTATAAGGTTGGTAAGGAGAGGAGCATGGGGGCGGGAGGGGTTATTTGGGAAGAAAACATCTAACAGGAAATTTTCAGCAAAGGGAATCAATATGCATGCCAGCATATCACACCCCTTCAGCATTAAATCATTAAATCCTTTGTCTTGCTACCAATGCAGTTTATTTCCAATGTCTTTATTGCATGCAAGAGAGACAATTTTTTTTTTTTCTTGGTAGAAGAAGGGAAAAAAATAAACCTACATTGAGCAGTGTGCCGATGCTGCCATTCGGTTTGGGTCAATCCACTGAAGCATGCTTTGAGAGCTTTCTCCTGGAGCATGCAGGAAGACGGACTCGCAGTGTAGAAATCCAGGATTTGCCCAGGACTCACTGACAGAACATCCATACAGTCAAACATGATCTCCCCTGCACTGAATGTCTGCAAAAGTGCTTATCCTCTAGGTGTGGAGGCAAATGGCATAGAAAAGTCCACCCAACTCCATCAAACTCTGCCCCTTTTTTGGCACGTAGGCTGTTGGTCTTTTTCCCAGCCCCGAATCATGAATTATGACAGACAAGCCAGCTAAAAGCCTGTAATTGATCCAAATGATCATTTACCATTTTCCAGGCTTGCTCGGCCAATCCAGCCGGGGCGGGGGGTTCCCAGAAAGATCCCAAGTTCTCCTTCCAAGTAAATGCTTGCAAAAAGCCTTCCGAATGCGTTCCGGATCCTACCCCGACGGTGCCCAGACAAACCCTGCTCGGATCGCTCGCGTTCTCGGCATCCCAGTCCTCAAACAGCTCGCATGGGGGAATTCTGGTCCCCCCTTTGGCAAAGAATAGACCCTCCTGCCTCTGAACAGCTCACTTCCTACTACTTCTGTCACACAGAATGAAAGATTGAATTGCCTAATATATGCGAGTGAACTTTCGGTGAACCCTACCCGGGCTGCTAACCTTCAAATGACCCAACTAGTCTGACATCACCAACTCCCAGGATTCTCACAGAGCTTAAAAACTCCCAGCAGCCCTGCAAAAGCAGACAGCCAGCGAGGCAGGCAGCGAGCGCACAAGCCGGCGCTTTCTTTCCTATTTCTCACCTTAAAAACAATACAAGAAGTGCTTTTAAAACGAGCAGGGGAGGAGCCGGGACGCTGCTCCTGGCTCACGTTGAGCACCAACTTCTCTCCCTTTACGCCTTTTTATTTGCCGCGGCTTAGCTTGGAAAACAGTGTTTCCCCCCCGCCCCCCCCCCACCCGCGCCCGTTCGTCTCCCGCCCACTGCCTCGCCCCCCAGCCTACCCTTTAAATTCCTCTGTGCGCCTTTCTGTCTGTTAAATTCCTTATAACTTATGTATTTTTCCACTCCAGAAAAAAGCACATGCAAGCCCTAAACTGTAGAACAGAGAATGGCTACCCCTTGGGAAAGGCTTGAGTTGGGAAACTTTCCATTCCACAGTCTTTTTCTCTTTCTCCCTCTTGCAAGCCCCTGGCTGAAGTGACTGCATTCGTTTGCTCTGCAATCCAGCTTTCGGGATTCATTTACTTTGAAAAATCCTCTCCAGGTTCTATGCAGCATATGGAGTAGTCAAGAATTAGTTACCCCTGCCCCAAACACACAAATCACACAAAAAAATGAGATTTTAGATCTGGACTTGAAAAAACAATACAGTGGTCAAGAGCATGGACTGGGGAATCAAACTGAACTAGATTCCAATTCCAGGTCTGCCACTTACCAGCTGTGTGTTCTGGGACAAGTATTTAACTTCTTCGGGCTTCAGTTTCCTCCTCTCTAAAATGGGCATATAATACTACCCACCTTGGTGGTAACTGGGAGGACAGAAAAACACTTGTATGGTGCTGGGTAAATATCATGGAACAAATGTTAGCTGTGACTCATCCTCATATTGTTCAACTGGGGAAACAACAGCCCGGGGAGATGGGACCCACCCAAGGTCACACAGCTCAGAGCTGTGACTAGAACCCAGCTCCCTAAGATCAAAGTCCAATGTGAAAATTACTTGCCTGTTCCCATATCCTTGCACCCCAAAACGCCATGTTGGTTGGTTGCCTCTCTCATCATACACCTACACACATCCCACCACATAATTAAACACATATTTTGTAAGCTCGTTTAAGTATGACAGTTTTATATTTTGAAGGACCAGTTTTCTCTCGTACCAGCCCCTGCCCAATCCTTTTATTAAAATACAGTAATTTTAAGGGAAAATGATTTTTTAGATCTCTCACACTGACCCAACCTACAGTAAGAAGAGTCTTTCCAGCCAGTCTTAAAACACTGAGAAGGATAGATGCAATATTTACAAATAAACCCAGCCGGATGGAGAGCTTTAAAAGGGAGAGCCAATCGACCCTGCAGCCATTTTGCACAACTTGCTTAAAGGATGCAACATACATCAAAGAAAGGAAACTCTGGGGAGGAATTTAAACACCCTGTCTTCCCCACTGCCTCTCTAGTATTTACTTATAGTTCTCCCACAAAACAGGGCAGGCAAGAGGGTAGGCAGGGAGGGACAGTCTCCTTGCCCAACGCAGGCAAGAGCACTGCTCCAGTCTCCTTTTTGTGGATAGTGTTGGAATGTGCATTGGCATCCAGGCCTTTTAAAAGCCTGTCAGGGGGCACCCCACCCCATGCTGAAACACTGCCCTGTCTAGCGGAGTTGCTAAGTGGCACTTGTGGTGTAACATGAAAAGTATGCATCGCACACACTTACCAAGTCAAAGATTCTTTTATGAAGGTACATTAAAACAATTTTCAGCCCAGCAAGCTCAGTTCTTGCTATTGAAAAGTTCAGGGCAATAAAGGGGTGAGATTTTTGCTGAATCTGTGTTTGTTATTTTTTTCCCCTCTCTTCTCTCTTTTATATGGCCATCATTTTGTAACAGAGACTTATTATAAGAAACCCTTTAACTACAAAGAAAACACACATTTTAAGCAAGGGAACACAGAGGAATTTACAAAACATTTTAACACACTGTCATTAAGGTAGTTGTAAAGATACACAAAGCACTACATTATGTGCCAATTTCTACTTGGTCCATGAGGCTTATGACTCCAAATGCTTATTTAAGGTCCTTAGAGTTCCTTGGAAACTGAGCTCATTTAGACCGGATAATGGAGAGGGATGAAAGTTGTTAGACAAGAGTAGAGGAAGCAGCTATATTGAAAGTACAGCAGGAAAAACTTAAGTGAGAGATGGGAAACATGGCATCACTGACAGATATGTGTATACAAGGATCTGTTATCCAGAGGAGGCTGCTGCACATTCTTGCTTAACACCTTTTCAAAGAGTAGAGATGCACTGGTCCCAGGGAAGTGAAGATGGGGAGGGATGTCCTCAAAATTCTGTTCATTCTGATTTCTTAAGCTACGGAATCAGCCTCATCGAGGGACAGCACTGCTTCCAAATTTCTTACCTCTATACTGTATCATTGCACAAAAATAACAACATTAGTGTGTCCCTCCATGTGTGTGGTAAAGGTTGGGCAACTCGATGTTTTCTTTCTTTGTGTAAGAAAATGTAAAATGTGTAATTACCTTGAAGTTCTCAACTGAGAAATGAACTTGGGCCTTGAAATGAATAATCAGTATTTAAATCCCAGTGAATGGAATAGTATGGGTTTCTTATAATGTGACAGTATTTGCTAGTCAATTAATCATTCCTCATCATGAATTAATTATGCTGATAGCAATAATTGGAGCTATTACTTAATCCAAGTATTAATTTATAAAACAGACCCATGATTTAGCCACATGCTAATTATTTCTTCATCAGTAAATGCTTATACTTCTTGAAAACTTGATTCTGCCTCCTAATTCTTCATTTTAAGTAAAATGAACGAAAGATACATAAATAAGCCACAATTCTTTAAATACATATCCATGTACTATAAAGATTAATGAGTAGGGTAGAAAGTGAAAAATAGACCGATTTGTCCATAATGAAATGTAAACTACTGACACCCATTTTAAACATCAGCCACAAGGTTGGAAGAAACTTTCCCAAATATCTTCTTGTTATGGCATAAAATAACATTCTGATGTGTCATCTCTATTTTCTTTGTGTTTGATCAATGATCTAATAAATGTATTTCCAACCAACAAGCAAACAAAAAGTAAAAACCAAAAGCAAAAGTTTGAGAGCAAAATCCATTTAGTTTCAGAGTAACTGTATATTTGTCAGTGTGACACAGCACATTTGAAACCCATAATCATAAAACAAAAATTTATAGCCAGGGTTCAGGGTCTACATCTGTTTCTCTGGTTTTCGTACAGCAATTACCCACTGGACAATCCAGAAAGAAACACCATGAATCACGCTCTGCAAACATGTTTGAACTGGAGAGTTTTCTGAAGAAAGAGCAGTCGTGTCTGTGCACCAGTATTGCAGCCGGCCGTGTTCAAAATTGGGCTAATACCTTGTGATGTCTAAATAAGAAGATTTTCAGAGGTGCAGACATATCCCCCCCACCACAGGCGCAGGCATGCAAAGGGCAGGCAGACACAAGCACAGGGCTGGGGGAGGTGGACACTGATTGTTTTAAAGACATGCCCACCTCTTTCGTGTTGTTTTGGCTTTTTGTTTGTTTTTTAAATTTTCTCCCTGTTAATCCCCTCTTGCCACAGCTCTGCCAGAAGAATAAATGGCTAGTACTGAGTGACATGTGTGTTCCAGCAGGAAAGCCAAGGCAGAGATGTCGCCAGCACGAGGCCAGTATGAGGCTGTTCCCAGGGCTTCCATACTAGCAGGCAGAGCTGCTTTTGTGTTGGAGGGGAGTGGGGGAAGTTCTAACAGTAATAACACATGGAAACTTTGCTTCTGGCCCTTCAGTATGAACACCTGCTCACATAACAGGACTGCTGATATTTGTGGATCTTATACCGAAAGACACCAATGCGCTTTCCAGATGAACTTGCATGGTGGCTCTGGGCATGAGTATAGACACTTTTCAGAAATCCTAGAATCACGTCTTCTTCAAAAACGTCTTTCTACTTTGAGCGTTGGCCACCGTGTCCTTCATTTGGCTCCTTTCTCCTCAGCTCTCTGCTTTTTCAGACTTTCCTCCACAAAGTCTTCCCACTTGGTTACATACAAATATTGTTCTCCCAAGACAAGGGCATACTTTTCTCTTTCCACATTTCTGAATTATTTTCTTTAGCGCTTCTGTGCTTTCTGCTGTTGATGACTCATAAAGACACCTCGTCAAGCCTAACAGTTTCCATTGGTTCCAGCTTGAAAGTTAAATACAAACCCTGCTGAACGCCTCAGTACTGAGCAGTGAGCTGCGAACCATCTCCTAACTGACTGTCACTGCTGGTGGTCTCAACATTACTTTTGGGGAGACCTATCTTTGGCTGTTTCATCCTGTTTACATTTCCCTTTTTAAATCTAGAGCTTTACTTTTTTCCTTTTTTAAAATTTTATTTTCACATTTTCCATCACTCCCTATAAATCTAGATTTAAGTAATACACGCGCATAAAAATTCAAAGTCTAGTCCAAAAGATATAAAGTGAAAAGTAAAAGTTCTCTATATTTATTCATTAAATGTTGAATACCTACAATGTTCCAGGCATCTTAATTGGTGCTGGGCATGTATCTGTATATTTTTATGGGGCTGGGTGCTGTTTGTTGCTATTACACCAGTATGGTCTTATGATACATATTGCTCTGCAACATTTTAAAATTTAGCAATATTTCTTGAACATCCCTTCAAAATAAATAGTACATAGAGAACTAGCTCCTTTAAAAAAATAAATTAGAATCTCTTTACATCAATGCATTGTATTTCATTTAACCAATGGCCAGCTGTTAGACATTTAGGTTGTTTCTAACTTTTTAGTACTATTAGGTTGGTGCAAAGACGCCCTGCGGGCCTGTGCACCAATACACCTGCTGGATAAAATTCTAGTAGCAGTATTCCCAAAACAAGGATTATGAGCATCTTAAAATTTGACGGACACACAAAATTGTACTCCAAAAGAGTTATGTGAATATATGTTTCCTTTTTGTTCTAAAAGAGGGGTCAGTAAACATTTTCTGTATGGGGTCTTTGGAAATATTTTAGGCCTTGAGACTATACAGTCTCGGTTGCAGTCGCTCAACTATGCCATTGTAGTATAAAGGAGCCATAGACTATATAATAAATTAATGGGCATGGATGTACTTAATAAAACTTAATTTACAAAAACTGATAGTGGACTAGGTTTTGCTCATGGGCTGCAGTTTGTCCACCTCTGTTCTAAACCAGCATTGAACAATTTCATGAAATTCTACATTGCCTTGTCGCTACCCTTATAAAACCTAGCTATATACATTTGGGTTTTGTTAACATTTTAATTTTCTTTCCCTTTTAAAAGCTTAATTCAGTTTAACTTGTGTATCTCATGAAGAATAATATGGCTCTTTTATTATATTATTCATCTAGAATGCATTATATTACTTCATCCAGAATCATCTTTCCTTCTCTCTTGGCTGGTAATTTCTCACTTTTCTACCTTATTGTCTTCATTTCCTTCTATAAGAAGGAGTTTTGGATAGTATCTCTGCCTTCAAAACGTGTGCAGGTACCCCTGTTCTTCCACCATTAAACCCTTCTTTAAAGCCCATTATTTCCATAAACACCCCACCTCAGTCCCATATATGATGGCAATATTTGAGAGATGGAAAATGTAATGGTGACCCCTGAGAATAAATGCCAATGGCACTACCATGCTACAGCTTGCTTGTGACTTCCCTGTACTATTCCACATCAATTTTGTCTCATCTCAGTACATCTTCCAATAAGCTAAGATTAGATGTGCCACTTAGTTGACAAAGGGCTTAGAAGAACACCTAGACTCTTTTCAAGGATGGAAAGAAGCACAAAGGATTCTAAGAGTGCTTTGCAATTATTTCGTGTTAATATTATTAATAAAGGATAATGTCTATTAACTGAGATGCCTGCCTTAATTCCTAGTTCAGCACTTCATTTTTTTAAGATCATATGTATGAACAGAAACTGTTAGTTGGCTCTTAAGCTCTGCTGTTTAAACTAATTAAAATTAAACAATTAAAAACGGGTTCTCAGTCACATTAACCATATTTCAAGTGCGCAAAAGCCTCATATGACTGGTGGCTCTCACGTTAATAGGACAGTGCAGACACAGAATGATTCCATCATTGCAGAACATTCTATTGCAGCACAGTGCTCTGAAAGGTCAGCTTAATGATTAGAGAGGCAGTGTAACCTGGTAGGTGGGGCCACACAGTTTAGACACTGCCTGTGTTTAAACCCCAACTCTGCTTCTTACTAGCTGTCTGATTAGGCCAAGTTACTTAAAATCTATATTCTCTCGCCTGCAAAATGTAGATATTAATGGTACCTACGTCAAAGGGTGGTGGTAAAGATTAAATGAGGTAATACAAGTAAAAAGCACTTAGAACAGTGCCTGAACTATAGCAAGTATTTAGAAAATGTCAGTGCAAGGCTGGGCACAGTGGCTCATGCCTTGTAATCCCAGCACTCTGTGAGGCCGAGGGTGGATCACGAGGTCAGGAGATTGAGACCATTCTGGCTAGCACAGTGAAACCCAGTCTCTGCTAAAAATACAAAAAAAAAAAAAAAAAAAAAATTAGCCGGGCATGGTGGCACGCGCCTGTAA